CTCGTATTGTTATCTATATATGTAAAATGGTCAGTAAAAAATTGATTGTATCTTTATTCAAAATCAAGGAAAATATATCTCTTATTCCGGATAATTTGTTACGTCTTATAAATTTTGCCTTATTCCGGATAAGTTGGGCAGCACACATTTTATAATAACACGTCGTTCACACGTTTTTGAAGAGTTCCACTGGTCGCGATATCATCTATTGACTTAGTGTTATTGTCGAGAAAAGCCTGAAATTGCCGTATATGCACAACCGTCTACACAAAGCATGAAATCTTTCCGGAATCCGCCACCCGGCATTCTGTTTTCTGTTTATCTAGCCCGAGTGTCAATAGTCACTCCGGATAAGAATAGCTGAGGACGTGATATAACCATGAAGTGTTTTATATTTAGAAGAAGAAAAGAGAATATGTCGTTCCAGTCTACAACAGGTGTCTGTATGTCAGTGCTCGCAATGATCAATTCAAACAAATAGCATTTCGAAACTCAATCCATCGAACAATAAAAGGTTTTCACCAAAGTGAAACAGACAATCGGGGAATTATATAAGCTGTTGATGTTTATTTCATATAATAACTGATTAATTTTAAGAACCACCGAATGTGAATGAAGCAGTTAAATATGAAGACTAGCAAGTGAGTTGTAAAAGCATTGGTGCATGCTGACAATAATTACAAAGACATTGATTTGGTTGACAATGGGAATATAACGGGAAGTTGACGTTTCTTCGTAAGAGCGAGTGCCAGAGGCCCAATGCTATTATCCCTGATGGCAGATATTTGCTGTTACCCACTGCATGTTGTAAAAAAAGCTAATGTATGAACTCCCTTCAGAATTGTGGATTTGCTTTGGTGCATTCTACTTAGCGGCAAAAAGGTGATCAACGTAATTCTGGTGGTAGTAATTCTCTGCTAAATGTTCAGTATTAAGGTAAATGGCATTAACTGGTTCACCCTGCAGTCAATATAATATGACCGGGCGGAATACTATAGTGGGTGCCTTCGACATGGTGTTTCAATGAAGTTGCACTATAAAGTCGGCATCAGATCCGCGCTATCACAATGAGACAAACACGCCAACATGCCGCCTCCGGCACAAATCCACCAATCATTACACACACGGAGGCACGTCCTCAAATGACCCTGGCTGTTAATAGGATGCTAAACCCAATAAAATGTCATTCCTTATCGAAAATGCGTCACTTCCGGTGAACTTTGTCCCGTTCTTTTGGTATAATTTGACTTTTGCAGATATTTTTATCGCGCGAATTCATAAAGTGCTGTGTCTATTAATAACTCGCCCTGGTAATAAGACACAAAATTAATATTTGGTGACGAAGTGTAACAGTACCAAATAAAGTCAATGCGTTCTTATAGTTTGCATTTTAGTATGTCTTTTAGAGATTATTTGAGGTGTACTTTATCCTCTAATGAACATAACAAAACTTGAATGTTGCTAACGTTAGCCCGGGCGGAATTGGGACTTCTGGAAAGTGGGTGACTTTCTAAACCACATGGACATAAGGCTGAGCTACAGGCTGTATGTATCTCAACCACCGGGACACAAGGCTGAGATACAGGCTGTATGTATCTCAACCACAGGGACACAAGGCTGAGCTAGGGGCTGTATGTATCTAAACCACAGGGACATAAGGCTGAGATACAGGCTGTATGTATCTAAACCACAGTGACATAAGGCTGAGCTACAGGCTGTATATATCTAAACCACAGGGACATAAGGCTGAACTACAGGCTGTATGTATCTAAACTACAGGGACATATTAAGGCTGAGCTACAGGCTGTATGTATCTAAACCACAGGGACATATCAAGGCTGAGCTACAGGCTGTATGAATCTAAACCACAGGGACATAAGGCTGAACTACAGGCTGTATGAATCTAAACCACAGGGACATAAGGCTGAGCTACAGGCTGTATGAATCTAAACCACAGGGACACAAGGCTGAGCTAGGGGCTGTATGTATCTAAACCACAGGGACATATAAAGGCTGAGCTTCAGGCTATATATGTATTGACATATCCTGGTGTGTGTAAGGAAAATAGATGTTGCAGGGTTTATGCCGACAATTGGTTAAAAAAAATCTATAATGGATTGAGGATATTATATCAAAATTGGTAAGATACCCCCTATACCTATGTTGGTAATTATACTCTTACCTTCCTTAACCAAGACGTAAAGGAGGGTGCACCCCTCGTACTCAAGGAGGGGGATATCGGGTTCAATCAAGAGCATTTTAGTCCAAAATTTTGGAAAGCAATAGAAACAACAAAAAGAGTAACATCGAAATGTGAAGATCAACAGTTGGTTAAAGTATACCTATATACACGAAGGGATAACTCCTACCAACCCATTGTTCACTATACAAGAGCTGTGTCCCTTCAAACAATCTTCTTTTAATATTAAAAGAAAGTAATTCTAAAAAATCTCGTTTACGGAAAGTGCCGACGGTTTCCGATTGAGTAAATGTTCTGGACACTGTGCTATTGCATTGGCCGATAACCACGCCTAGTGGTTGAATCATGTCAGACGATATCTGCAGTATTACCGGCAACGTGGTTTTTATTCTACATGATAATCGCTTTTAAACGAAACCAACAACGCATCAAGCTTCTCCGAAACCTCAATGGTATGATGTCAATTTCTCACGGCCTTTTTGCCGCCAGTGTAGATTTCTTGGTTACGTAACAGTATGTATGACTGAAATACGCATCTGTCTATCAGTGTGCCAGCCTCGCGCTGGTAAGAGGGATAACAAAGCCAAATCCGCCTCGAGAGAGAAGGGGTAATTTGTTTAAGAGTAAAAAATTATGTTTGTTATGCAGAATAACACTTGTGTCTCACTGAAACAATTTACAGGAAGTAAGAACTCATACAGTGGCATGTCTACAGACAATATAACGTTATGTAAACTAACTCAAAATAATTGGTTAGGATTAGTTTCTTTCGTACAAACTACAGACATGTATATTGAAATCCCCTGTCTACTTAGCGCTAACGTCCTCGCTTTGGAAATGTTATAGAATAACACTTTTATCTATAGAGAGATACATTTGAGGTACTGCTCATGTAAAACACTATCAAAATTTGCGTTTCTCGAAAAAAATGGTCGGAATAAATTTTCGTACAACGCAAGCAGCTGTGACACCGAGTTTTTCCGATGCAATTGTTCTAAAATCATACGTACATTTATATAGTTATTATAATGCTCACGGTGTAACGAAGAAACGCATACTTCTCTTGTTTTCAGTTAAAGGCGGTAACAATAGCTGCTTATCTGAGGAATGTTCAAGCAACAATGATTTATATGTATTTGCTTGTTGCACACGTTCGAAGCAGATGTATAGAACAAGAAAATGTATTTCATTACGTTTGGATAACGTTTTTAAAATCCTATCTCGAGGAGCTGTAAAAAACAGAGGCATGTGGTTTCTTTGTGTGGTAATGGCGGGTCTACTTACCATGCCTTTAAAAAGAGCCAAAACACACATCTATAACCATACATTCACATTTCTGTTAATCGAAAGAGCCACAAAAAGTGTGAACGGTTTGACTTAATGCAGATACCTAAAACGATCTGAAACTTCTGTAAAAGTCTTCATTTCTCGCGGTGCATACTTTTCACAACTTTTGTACAACTATATTTGCTATTTAGGACAATTTTTCTTCAAAATATTCCCAGAAATCCACACATGCGCTCACAAATAATGTTTAGATGTACCACCGATTCACGGAACATAACACTTGTAATTATTTGGTTTTGTACCTTGAATATAAACTACCGAAATGTATACCGGGCTTAATGCAGTCATGGTAATTTTTGTGCAAAATAAGGGGAAAAAAATGTGCTGGAGTGGTGTTATCCTATATATTAGAGCATATTGCTAGCTGATTGGTTTTTTGTAATATATACATGTGTAAATGTTCTATAAAGTCTACGGAAAGCCCACTTATATAATTACCTCTCGAACGACTTCCGGTTACATTCCCCGTGACAAATAAAACATCCGCGATAGGTGGTTTTAAATTAAAAGAATATCCAATTATATCGTATACATAAATTAACAGACAAATAACCTCCCAGCAGCAGGTTGACACTTAAGTACAAGTTTACCTGTAGTCAAACACGTCGGAAACATTGACTCGTGATCGTAGGTACAGAGAGTATTGGCCCTTGTGTCCTAACAACCTTATCGTTACCGGGACGCTCAAAGCGCCTATAACATATCGCTCAATTATCAGGATCATGAGAGTGTTAGTAGCATCGGCTTGAATTTTACGACATTGAGATTATAAACATCCGATCAGATAAAAATAGTTATGTCTGTAGAACGATTAGAGGATAATACCCTCACGTTTGTTCCGGGTTTGGTTAAAGCGGCTAGATGACGCAGAAGTCGAAACTGTCGCAGCCAATCAAAGACCGGGTCGGCTATCTTGAATTTTGATAAAGTCATGCAAATAACATTCGGCTATGTTTGGTTAATTTCAGCATTGTGTAACTTGACAAAAGGCCAAATGTCTCAATCAGAGGTCAAGTCAGCCATCTTGGAATTTTAATCTATCAGGAAAACCCCCATATGAAGGGCTCTTTTATGAACAAGTTTGGTCAAAATACTTTTGCCATTCTTGAGAAGAAGTAGAAAACTATTTTTTTAAATGACGGAAGGCGTACTATTTGCCAAAGCAATACCTTATATTACCCTTTTGGCTGTGTGAACTAAAACTCAAAGTACAGTTTCTGAAGTAAAATCAGATGGAATATGGAGAACGAGGGTATGTAGGTCCCTTCCCCGGAAACAATACTTCTAAACGAACAGTGATAACATTTTTTGTCTCATACATATTTTAGGTAATACAGGCGGTCGAGAGCTGGAATTGCTTTCGTAATTGCAGAACAACCACATGTAGCAGCACACCACAGCATGAAACATGGGGCAAACTGACAGGCAGAAAAAAGTTTGTAAAATATCTTACCGATTGATCACGTAACCTGACCGTCGAATGATGATTATGGAGAGTATGTCCGGTACATAAACAGTGGTCCTGTCTGCACGTGTATGTGCGTCCTAAGTTACCGTGTGACACACATGGTAAAATACACACACGAGTAAGAAAGTCACTCATCCACGGTCCTTAGGCGCACACGAGGGCAAACAGTCCGCTTCGATCCGAAGTGGAGGCTGTATGTATCCTGCTCTCAAAAACGATAAAAAGCCTACACTATCGTCATCAGTTACCATGACAACACCAAAATGTAACAAAGTTGGGATGATCTGCGCTAGAGATGCAGTGTACAGCTGTTAGGGAAACATGGCAGATTTTGCTGGCGTGGGGTCCAGCCTAAATATCACGGTGATTAGAGCGAGCGAGTTTCGGTGATTTATCGCTGGTGGTTTGTTTGATTTGACACAGGGGATGTTGTAGTAAGTGTGTATATTTTATGTAAATGGATACTTATCTAAAGAGGGCCACCGTATTGTGAGTGAGAAGGTTTCGATAAATGTGTATGATATATTAACGAGTGCTGCCAGCAGTTATAGCGATATTACTTTATACACGAGCATATATCATACATATATACAAATGAGTATCCCTAGAGTTTCATAAAGAACCTAAGGAGAAATACCGTTTTACTTTTCCATTAAGCTTCTGTCATCCCCTAGAGTTTGATTTATATGGCGCCCCCAACGGCGTGACAGATGTTACATGAACAGAATTAACTCTATGACGTCACGGGTAAATCAAGATATGACGTCACAATTAGAAATCAAACCTGTGCAAATCAGGAAAAAAACGATTATAAATGCTGAAGATTGGACAAATTGGAGGAAATAGGATGTAATACAGATCTCTCTGACCCTCGGGTTGATTAATTGATTGTGTAATTTTCGGCAGAGCCACGTGGTAGCCAACCAAAAAATCACCCTCTCGGTTGGAGTTTACTCTGTCACATCTTTAAGGTACTGGAAGATACCCACCAATCATCCACAAATACTGAGGTCGATCACGGATAATTCTATTACCATAATGTCATTGTAAAGGATGACTCCTAGTTTCATCAAACGCCCCCGTCCTCGTTTTCTCATCGACACCTCCGGACGCTTCTCTCCTCGAACGCTTTGTCCTCCTTCCTTTGCACAACAACCTCCTGAAACAACGTACCAGTGGTGGCAATTCCGCTGTGTTGCTGGTTATATGAACCGGTACCCGCGCCCAACTACAGTACTTCTCCGTTTGTTAATGGGTAGGTTCCCTCATTGCCTTTTTCTTGATACTTTACTTTTTGATGTCATAGCTTTCTTTATGCTTTGTTTGGCTCATTTCATTTTTTGTTTGTTCTCTTGGAGTTTTTGTTGTTTTTGTTGTTTTTGTTGTATTGGTGTTTTTGTTGTTTTGGTGCTTTGTTGTTTTGGTGCTTTGTTGTTTTGGTGCTTTGCATCTCTTGGTTTCTTAGATCTTTATTTATCCATATATTTGTAATTATTTTTATCAGTATCGATTTCGTTACCTCCGATGTCGTCTCCTATTAATTTACTATGACATTTTGAAAACCCTCCATATTTGTTTATCTCACCTTGTTCTTTAAAGGGCCCTGCCACACCTAGCCGATTTGGGTCGCTGGAGCTATACCGCAGCACAAAATTGGCGATTTTCGGGAATTGGTACTAGCACGGCAGCGCAACGGTATCACATCGCTGAGAACGGGAGTACATCGTCGGGACATCGTCAGATTATCGGCGAAAAATTAGCAACGACCTGCGGCGGTAGACATTTTTGAACAAGCTCAAAAATGTCCGCCGTTGCGCTGCCAGAGCGAGCAACGAGACTACAACGGCTGTACTCCGGTATGGCTTCGTTGATATCGGTAGAGCACCGGTAGCGCTCCGTAATGGATCGGCGACTCACCAGTGGCCTTAATGTGTACCGTACTGGTACCGATGTGATACCATAGCACTACCGAATACCACAGAAGTATCACTAATGCGCCTCCGATGTATTACCGATAGAAAAATATGCGTCGGTAGCACATCGGTAGGACAACGGTATCACAACGGGATCGCCGGTACTACATCGGTTTTGCTACAGTCATTTTTTTATTTTTTTTATTTTTTCAAATGCTTTCTCGCCGGAGCTCTGCCGATTTTCTCGCTGTTGTCAATTTTCTGCTCCGGTTTAGTCCCGGCGAGGTACATCGGTAGTGTGTGACAAGGCTTTAATATTGACGCGCCGCCAATGTACTAATGACAGAAACTTACATCGATAGAACATCATTAGAACAACGGGAACGCTAGTACTACATTTGTATTGCTATGGTCAATTTTGATTTTTGTTTAAGTGCTTTCTCGTTGGAACTCAGTCAATTTTCCGCTGTTGTTATTTTTTTTCTCCTGTTCAGTCCGGCCGAGGTACATCGATAGTGTGTGACAGGCCCTTTATATTCTAAAAGAAAAATATACTGATACCCCCTGGTAAACAGGAAGTCAACTAATACCCCCTGGTAAACAGGAAGTCAACTGATACACCCTGGTAAACAGGAAGTCAACTGATACACCCTGGTAAACAGGAAGTCAACTGATACCCCCTGGTAAACAGGAAGTCAACTGATACCCCCTGGTAAACAGGAAGTCAACTGATACCCCCTGGTAAACAGGAAGTCAACTGATACCCCCTGGTAAACAGGAAGTCAACTGATACCCCCTGGTAAACAGGAAGTCAACTGATACCCCCTGGTAAACAGGAAGTCAACTGATACCCCCTGGTAAACAGGAAGTCAACTGATACCCCCTGGTAAACAGGAAGTCAACTGATACCCCCTGGTAAACAGGAAGTCAACTGATACCCCCTGGTAAACAGGAAGTCAACTGATACCCCCTGGTAAACAGGAAGTCAACTGATACCCCCTGGTAAACAGGAAGTCAACTGATACCCCCTGGTAAACAGGAAGTCAACTGATACCCCCTGGTAAACAGGAAGTCAACTGATACCCCCTGGTAAACAGGAAGTCAACTGATACCCCCTGGTAAACAGGAAGTCAACTGATACCCCCTGGTAAACAGGAAGTCAACTGATACCCCCTGGTAAACAGGAAGTCAACTGATACCCCTGGTAAACAGGAAGTCAAACTGATACCCCCTGGTAAACAGGAAGTCAACTGATACCCCCTGGTAAACAGGAAGTCGACAACGACTATACCGATATATCCTGGTAAACCGGATTAATCGTCTCAGGAGAACAGATTAGAGAACCGTAGAAACTAGAAATGATTTTTTCTGACAAGAAAAACGCTTTTGATACCAAAGTCTATCTTAATTTCATGAAAATAAAAATATAAACCGAGGAGTGAGCGTTGACTTTTCGTTGTTTGATAATGTTATTCTTGTTTTGGCGCAGAAGAGACAGGATCTTTTATCCTCATTGCGTCACTTTGAACCTCTATATTTTCTTTTTTGAATACTCCCATCTTTAAAGGACATTGACTTAATATGATTTTCGCTGATGCGAGAACCTCCCCCCCCCCCTAAAAAAACCACCCAAAAGAAACAAATCGGCGTTTGTGGCGCCTCAACTAACTTAATTGGACGAAGTCCTCTATATAAGTCGGACGAAATATGTCTTAAATATTATTGTGGCCTTCAGACCAACATAATTTTGTAACAAATCCACATGGAAAGGTGAAAGAGTGGAGCAATTTCACACTCGAACGAAACAGCTGCGGTTCGATACCATGGTAAAAATAAACAATTCCCATTTCAGAATGAATTACCGCCCTTGCGTTACTCGTCGTTTCACGCGCCATATAATACACGTGTAACGCTATATGTATAATTAGCTTCTCTTCGTAAACACGAAAACATCAACGGTGTAGAATTTCAACATCACGTAATGTACCTTCGAGAACATTTCATATGAATTGGACGGCACTTTGCAATGTCCATAACGGTGTGTACGCCAGTCGGTTGCATATATATTTCACCATGAAGACCGCTGTTCAATCCATACGGATAATTTATCTTAGTTCAAGTATAATATTTCCTGATGTTTGCATTTTTTTATATACAGAATAAGAGTTTTTGGAGCCATTATTGTTTTTACAATGATGACTACTTAACATGTTAATTTCTGTCAAAACATTGTCCTCGGTCAAAACTGGTAACTCAGGTTGATAAAAACAACGTATCGACCCTATCAACTATGATGCTTCAATATTGGTCTCCTGCCACAGTTTCTAATATGTGTTTATGTCAGTTTTGACATTTTTACATTGCATAATTAAATCAGTAAAATTGTATGGACATCTTTCAATATTTTTTACAAAAGTTCTAACGACATTATCGTTGTGATTAGATCGATGTCTTATAGTGATGAGATTTCAGTCAAAGATTTTCTAACTTGTAACTCACAATAAAAGCCGTGTATAACATATATAAGCTTATTCAATCAATCGAGTAAGTAAAATATATCATGGACAAGGGACATTCAATGATTTAACATAACAATGAAACAACGGATCGGAATGAAATAGTGAAATACAGATTTTGTTACCAACTCCGATTGTTTAGACCTGTAGCTGACACATATTAAATAACCACGAATCGATATAATTTGAGTTAATTATAAAAGTCTGTACAAATTAAACAGAAAGATATACATATGTGTTTGATTCCAAGATTTGGTTTCAACGCAGTTTAGGTTGTCTAACGTCAAGCAGAGACGAAACTATATATATATAGCCCTGTATACCAAAATATTTCGTTCATGAATAGACATGTACATGTATTTATGTACCCCGTCATATACGTGGTACAATAAACAGGAAGACTCGGCACATTGTGTCTTTCTGTTTATTGTTACAATTACATGAAGATTAGGCCTATTTATATTGTGTTTTACTAAAATCCTAGACATAGATTGTTTGGCCTGTTCTCGTTTCCCCCACTTCAAAAAAGAACATGGGGAGACAAATGTTGAAAAAATAACCAAATTTTTACATGTGTCCAAAAACATTGACAATCAATTATCTATTAATAATTTTATTTTATTAATTTTATACCAAAAATATCAGGTTCCATGTTATCGTCATTGTTTTCCTCCCTTTAAAATGAAATGATTTTTGTCTTGATTTCTGTAATTCAGACAACTAACACATGCCACGCTGTAGATTAGATACGTATTGAAAAAGTACATAATTATGTAATTTATCCCTTCTAAAGTAATATGAAAATATATTATCGATAGAAGTTCATTATTCATTATATGATTGTCTGTTAGATGGGGATACTGGTGAGTTGAAAAGCTTGAAATTAATAAAAAAAAAAATGAATTTGAATTAGAATGTTCTTTTATTATTCCTTATTCATTATTCCTTTATTGTCCTACTATCTACCACTCATAACTTAAATATATCAATGAAAGTAAAATAATTGGATACCGTTTATCTATAGGAAAATACTTATATAGGCTTAGCCTGTTGTCTTATCCCGTTGCTAATAATACATGTATACTGTTATATGGCTGTCTTTAGCCGAGGGGACTATTGGTTTTATACAATAGCTATATTTTCAATTATAGTATATCAATTCTTTCTTCTTGTAATATGATGTATATGTACATGTAACTGTTCTGTTTCACTGTGTCTTGAAAAAGGAGCGGATCGCTCCGAAAATTTGACAACCTAAACTTGTCCACACTGTTGGAATGGCTTCTTTGCCCCATGTTCTATTTCTTCTGTAATACTTGTTATCATCTTTTTGTTTGTATAAACAATAAAATATTTTGAAATTAAAAATGAAAGAAATGGACTAAATCAATCTTTAAAATATAGAACTTTGTCCCCTGCATTAAATATGAAAATATACGTACAGATTGAGCACGATCGATAATCGTCATCCTTCGATATTTCTAGCAAACCTAAGACAACTGTAATTGTTTTGAAGTGGTGTATGCCGTGTAGGTGTTGGCAATGAAAACGCTCATCATTATTTTGACTGTTCGTGAGTTTTGAATTCGCATATAGTTAATATTCTTGTTAGCATTGCTGTTCAGCCATTTCCCCAAATAAATGCTGTTCTACAGGGAGGTCCCAATCTTCCATTCTAAACAATTGTCTCAAATCTTCTAAAATGTACGAAACCATTTAGTTTTCTCTTATCTTTATTTACACCTCTTTATCCATCCTCTTCGTTTTCCTACTTTTGTTTTTATACAATGTATAACGAGGATGTTTATTTCTTGTAATCACATGTTACATAATTATTGTAACAAGTTGTGTTAACGTACGTCCTGTTTGTATATATATGTACTATATAATTTGCACTGTATATATGCACTGTACTGATAAACCGCAAGCTTTAAGGTAATAAAGAACAAATGAAGTTAAATCCCGTCGATTGTTGTTCACTAATATATTTTTGAAAGTGGATTATATGGTTTTATTTAGATTGCAGTCGATATATATCAAATTTCAAACTTAAAATAAAACAGATACATTGCTGTGCGAAAATCGTCGGAGTATCCTAAATTATCATTTGTTTCACTTTGAACTGTGTGTCTAATTAACACACAAGATAAGACGGAGCACATTTTCATCTTTTGAAATGTCTATTGTTCTGTGTCTCTCATACATGATAATTTCAAATCTTCCTTGAAATGTTATATATGACCATTTCTATTACGATATGTTTATAATAACCATACTTCAATTTCAAAAGTACTTTATTGACAATACATATATAATACAAACATATAAGTTGAAATTAACGAAGATGTTAGAACAGTATTGACAAAAGAATGAGACAACAGGCTATGCCTATATCAGTATTCTTCTATTTTCGGTAGCTATGTACAATGCTTAAATATATAAAATGTTGTAATTCGTTTTCCTCTCACACACATGCCATACTTCTTTATACTTTTAAACGTGCAATGGTGAAGGTGGAGAGTGCTATGCTGAACCATGGGTAGTTGTAATTGTTTGTGTGAGAGAGTGTATGTATATATCATGTTAACGTATTGTAATTGTATAAAAAGGCTTGAAAAAAACAAAATCAATCATAACAAAAAAAAAAACAAATAAAATAAACGTAAGTGCTCCTTAGAAACTTGTAAAAGTATTTGAAAGTGTCATCTTGAAAAATAAGATGGTAACAATTATGACAATATGTTTAAAATCACTCGGGTCAAAAACTAGTCTGTACCGTACAGTTTTACTATTTTGCACGGATTTAGCAGTAACCGGATACACATAGATACAGTAAGCATTACATGTAGTTTGTGTACGTTAAGCTAGTTCTACATAATATAGAAATGCCCTTCTCTAATGAACAAATTTCAGACACAACTAGAAACATGATTTTTTTTTTGTATAAAATAGCTCTCACGTGATTGATTAAAAAATCAAAAAATTGTAATTGTTTATTTTTCGACGTTTTTTTTCCTTATACATATACTCATGAAAAGCAACACACTTACTCAAACATACATGCTAGCACGAGATATCTTTATAATCTGCACGTGCACAGGTTATGAACACATTAAACAACCATCATATTCTGCTTATTTATATACATTTCATCATTCACCTACCAAAAAAAAAAAAAAAATGTGTATTTCCGAAGCTTTCTGATTATACCCCGTACTGACTTGGTATTTGAAGTAATTTACATTTTTCAGTGTTTGAGTTGAAAGTGCCGAGTAATATTTTTGTCTACAGAAACAATCACGTTCATTTTTCCATTTCAAGTCACTGCAAACACAACAAAAATAAATAGATAGATAGAAGACGCTTATCCTTTATTAACTGAAAAGGGGGAGCAAATCAACAGGAAAGGGCAATTGGTCAAATCGTCATTTCAAATAAAATTAATTTGATATAATTATGATGTTCGATTTTTAATGTCGTTAAAATGACTTGAGAGGCTAACTTCATACTTTTTTTTTTGGTTTGAAAATGTGTCATTCTAAATTTGAAGTAGTGAGTGATTTCGATGAGTTCGAGTGAAACAAATCATACCAATTTTGGTCGCACGCGCTTGACCGATGGTCACTAGCAAGGTGTGACATCAAGAGTGATTAATCACTTTGTTTGGACAATAATCAATCTGTAATTAGATTAACTCAATAAATTTGCTTTCACTACCAATCAATTAATTACCTGTTTCACCTGTACACGTGTAACGTGCGCCACGGGACACCGCGACAGGTAAGTCCCTGGAAGAGATGAGCACTTGTCAGAGACGATGATCACAATTCTGCACGCTGATTGGTCGATTAAATCACTCACCCGTAGTGCCAGGTATTTGTAACTCTCGGTATAAATAACAATTCATATCCAATTTTTGATTATTATTCCACTTCAATCGCAATCGACTGCAAGTGTCAGACAATCAAGGCGATTCACAACAGAGATTTCAACATGCAGGTTAAGGTAAGTTATAATGCATTAATAGATGCATGATCAATTAATTCTATTAACCCTATCATGATATTTTCAAACTCGGTACTGTTACTGTAAGCTGATATATTCGGAGTATAAGGGTTGTCGGATTAAAAACGAATCGTTTGAATGAATTTGATCCAGCACTAATCGTTAACAGAACAGTATTGAACACTCAGGTCGATACAAACGATACATGAGCAACATACACAATAAACAATATACAGCATTAGAATAGGTAAGTTAGCCTGGAGACTGAAATGTTTTTCATTAATTTCATATTAGTTGTGCAAAATAGTTCACGGTATTTATAATAATGTTTATTTCAGGAAATAGATCATAGAAATTACAGTTACATGACAGTTGACATACATATTAGAGTACAACATACATATTTGATAGTGTTTGGAAACTGGAAATATCTTGGAATATATTTACGTCTTCCAGCTACATTCAAAAACATAGTGGTATTTATCACCAATAACTTGTTGATCACAAAGTGAACATTTCCCCGCCTACCAACTTCAACAGGGAGTCGATGGTTACATGTTCGATTCTTAAATATTTCGGTAAGATCAAAAAATAGGGTTCTAGCTTTATTTCATGTTTAAACAGTCTATCACATATGCTTTTACCAGAATGATAGACTGGATCATGCCATAGTTGGAAATACTGACTTTCTAAAACAGGTTCTTATCATACTGGTTGTTGATGTTTTGTGACAACCATACGTAGCTGAAGCAAGTATCATCGAATATATTTTCAATAAAAGCAAACCATTTATGTGTATGAGAACCACTTATATGATCGGCAAACAGGGCTTTATACATACGATAAGAATATTTGTTTTGCTAACTTTTTATTAATTTAAGCCAGAAACTTACAATACGATTCTTAATATAAACTACAAGAGGAAAACGACCCAATTCACCATAAAACATGTATAAAGGTGTACTTCATTTTTACATTAATATAACTTCGGAGAATATCCGTATAATTAAGCAATTTTCAAAAACCCAAATCTGACAACCGTATAACAATATTGGTAAAATTGTTTGATTAAAAAGTTTAATCTGACAATAAATTGGCAAATTTAAATGAGGATCCTTGATTTCAATAAAACACAGCCTTAGTGACCTAATCTTTTATATGCTTCTCTGCCTGTGAAAAAAGGAACAGTTTTTAGAAAAAGTTTATCCAAGATATTTATAGCAGTCAACACGTTGTTCAGATTTTAGATAGGAATGAGTATGCAGAAATGTAATGAATGTCCCCCACTACTGTATTTTATTATATCGAGCACAAATAATCTCATTTTATATTGCAGAAACATTCCCTTTTTAGATAAACTTGTTACTAAGAATTCGGCATATGAACGATAAATGCGTCAAAATCACTTTTAGCATATATAAGCTTAAGTTGTTATAAAACAACATATTTATTGTGAAAACAAGAAAACCTCTGAGAGTGACTTAGTTCTAACAACATCGTACCTCAAAACATCTGTGGACGTGTGGACGGTGAGATCGTAGTATTGATGCGTGTTTCTATTCGAGTTATTTCCCCTTATAAGTATTTTTTAAGATTGAATTTTGTTCCTGTTTAGTTTATGTAACTTCTTGTAATTCAATACGATAACAAAATTGTAGGCCGAGGGCCTTTTAAGGGAATTACAACATTTTGAATTCATTCATATAGCAATGCTGCAAAAGAGTAATTTTAGTACCGAAAATGCAACAATCACCGGTCTCTAACGCTATAAAAATAAAAGGCCATTGGATTAAACCACCGCAGCGAAAAGTCTTGTATAAATAAATAATTCAATAAATTGGCCAGTTCTTTACTTTGACGCAGAAAAGTGTCCAACACATTTTAAGTTCTTTGTCGGAGATTCAAAGCAAAACGATTTTGACTCTTTACAGTATTTCGGAACCTCCTGAGTGATATCTATTAATGTAATCTTACCTGTCACTAACGAACGAGCTCATTTCTTTTAATGAAAACAAACATGTCATAAAAGATAAAGTAATGAGGTGTGGAACTCCTTGTATTCCTTTAATTTGCTTAAAAAAACGTTTATTTGATCAATTTATTCAAAATTGTTTCTCTATTGACTCTTCGTCTCGTGGAGAGTTCTACTCTATCTTTAAAACCAGTTTAATTTTGAATCATATCTAGTTAAGCTTAATTCCAGCGAACGTATAATTATCAGCAAATTTAGAATGTCGAACTTAAAATTACTCATTGAAACTGGTAGATGGGTTTGGTATACCACATAATAATCGTTGAAAGTTCACTCTAAAGATTTTCATTTATGGAAACTTGTAGCTGTATCGGAGCGATTCACAACACGTCCGACTCGGTCTCCATCAGCCTTGACCTCTCTTCTTATAGAAATTTAAATGTCAAGGAAATTTCTGCCTTACCATATTTTAATATGATAAGATGCTTTATCAGATTTTCGTTGAAAGTAGCATGTATGAATTATTTTTTAAATGAGTGAATTAGCGATTAAAGTTTTCTTTGTTCTTAATGCTAATCAAAGTTATTTTGTATTTCTAATTTGTAAAGAAAGGATCATCAAGGCCAATCACCTGTTGTCAACCTTTTCAATACTGTTATTTTGTTTTAATTTGACAGGAAATTACTTAATTATTTTCTATTTTCTGTGTGTAATATATATATTTCTAACTGCGCTGATATGATAATATTTAAAAATTAATTTAACCCGAGAGATGTCAGACTTTAATATCTTAGAAAATCCTTCGGTGTAACTTCTGGAAAGCACCATGCTACTATCTTTGTTGTTGCCAAGTTATTGTCCAAGGGAGGCAAATCTTACTAGACATGTATTAAATCACACTCCGAGACGTTCATATGCCAATTTTACAATCTAGAATGTTTCTCATTAGATTATGTCTCATCGTCTCTTTGTTTTTCTCTCTCCTTATATATTGAATTAATACGTTAAGGATGTTTATTCACCATATTTTTGTTCTTTCTTAATAAAAACGTTTTTTTTTCTGTGATTATGAGATTTTTTATTTTTGTTTAAAGGCAAACGCGCTGAATCATATTGATAGTTCAGTTCCACCGGAGGTGACACAAACTCATCAACCGGAAGTAACACAGAACCAGAACATCCTCTACTCCGGCGGGGAGTCGTTCGGGCTTCGTGATGCTGGCTGTAACCCGCATTATGGATCGGAACTCCTACAGGAGTCAATCAACAATAACTACGTCACTGATCCCACATATGACGTTACAAAACAGCTGACCAGCTTCACCGACAACACTTACTTCACTACAGGGCAGATGACACCTCTTCCATCTACTTCTCCTGTGCTACGGCCCCTGGCAACGACTCCCCGGTCTGTATCCTCGGATGGGGCCTCAGACAGATCTTGTGAAGAAGGTACGATATGACACTTTTGACAAATCCATCTGACAATTATTTTGCAAATGTTTTTTTCACTTCAGACATTATATTTTCTAAATTACATTTTATTTTACAGAAGAACTCATTGATGTGGTCAATGACTCACTCGGAACTTCGATTGGGAGTGATTCACTCGGAACCTCTCGTTCGACAGATACTTCTTGCAAAGAGACCGATATTTCCATGTCCACCCAGAGTTCCCTGTCGGAGCAGTCTCCTTGTTCCGGAAGTCTGACGACGTCATCACCGGAACAATGTGTTTCAGTGACCCCTGAGTCTGCGCAAACGTCTAAAACAAAGAAAAGAACCAACTACTCGCCCAGCCAAGTCCAAGCTTTGGAGAAGGTGTTCCTTGAAAATCCCTACCCAGATTCAGAACTCATGGAGGAAATGTCACGTGACCTTGGCATTGCTGAATCTAAAATCAAGGTACAATATTTTTTTAGATAATGAAGTAACAAAAAACACAACACTTCAAATAATACAATGAAGATACGTATATGTTCGACTGAGAATATCTAACATGTTGTCACATTTATATACCAGTATGAGTTGCAAAATATGCTATATTTTGGTAACTTGTTAGTAAGGACTTGCTCATATGAAACCCAAAATTGTACCTACTGACGTTTCTTGCAGTCATCTTTTCAAAGAGGACTTTTGAAAAAAACAAATATAAAAAGGGTATATCCGTGTGCGTTTGAACAGCACGTTTCAAAATTGCTACCGAAATAGTCATATTTAAAAAAAACAACATGTATAAATATTCGATAAATAATAAGCATATAGTTTTACACTTTTTAAATGCATATTTACTTTTCAAATGGGTCATAATTAGTTTAATTTAATGAAAACTTCTTACACCATATGCACCAAAGTACACATAAGTTCAAAATCACCTCATTTCACTTGTTATATAAGATGATCCATATAGTTACGTGATCTTCTCGATAAAACACGATGGTTGATGTCTTGTTGTCTTGGTTACAGGTGTGGTTCCAGAACAAGCGAGCTCGCTGGCGTAAGAGGGTACAGGATGACAAGCGTATGATGCCGTACGACCATCGGGCCTTCCCTTCTCCCTTCATGTCGCCCTTGTCCCCGGTCATGTCCCCTATCGCTTCTTACGGATTCCTGCCCGGAAGTCCCATGCTTGGATCACCTTCCTCGCCGTCTCAAGTCGTACCGGGGCCCATGATGCCTTTCCACCGACCACCTACGTCACCAAACTCACCGCTAGCCAACCAAAAACAGCCGTCACCGATGACGCCACCTTTCCAGCAACGCCCACAACTGCCACCATATTTTTACTCGTTTCCTTATGGGATGTACCCGCCATATTTCTGTGGATAGGGGAGCTAACTCCTACAACATCTTTGTTATATTGTGAGCGAGCTAATGATGAAAGCGGAAGATGTGTAAAAATGGACGCGTGTTTAAAAACCTTGTTATTTTGTTATGTTTGTTAACTTTTGACCTAAGTGCAAATGAATATCATATATATTGTATATATGTTTGTGTGTCTATTACACATCACGTGACACAATTAAGACGTGTGTCACTTCGAAAAATGCCAAAATTTTGTAAATATGCTTCACAGATGTAAATACAGTGCGTATTTACTCAGTGTATGGCACTGTATATATAGGATCTAATTGAATAAAAAGTCAAAATAAAATGATTTGGTTTATTATTTGTTGTTAAAAAAATCGAATTCAGTTTCTATTTCATATGAAATTTATAAAACAAATGTTTGAATTTTGACGAGTCTTTTTAAAAGAAGTTGCGACAAATTTCATAAATATGGTTTGAAACAGAAACCAATTGAAGATCCTTATACTATCTAATTAAATTTGTTGACTACGTTCATTTAAACGTATTATTAAAGTACTGTCTGGAAGGTAACGACATAACATAATTTGGAAATCCGTGACGTCACTTCAATACATTTACTGACATATCACGCGAACATAAAAACACGAGTGTATTATGTAATTTAGGAACATACGGTATTTATTGAATCACACGGTACAGTATTATAGATTCAACAAGATCTTATTGAATGACAAAGCCAGAGAAGATCTTTTACCAATCTAAGATCTTTACTGATCATGATTGAGAGTTTTATATTATAGATGAATGATATTCACTATGTAAGATACCCCCTCCCCAAACAAGTCGGTACTCGCGCCGGAATGATAACTGTTAAAATATCGTTGTTGATTTCGAAATAAAATCGAAATTTCATTTCTGATTATCTACTTGGAATAAATGAGGAAATAAAAATAGTGTTTGAAAATATAGAATATCTTGTTCATATTCTGAAAAAAGTAGAACCACAAATACTGCAGAAACGATTTGAAAAAAACCACTAGAATTATGTCAGTGTGACATTAAAGCCGCTCACCACTTTAAATTTAATTGCTTCAGCAACGCGTTGAGCATCAATATCTACTATAATACCTCAGATATGTGTTCTGTATTCTGCTAATTGAAAAGCAGGTCATGTGATGATGCAGCCTTTGGAATTTCCAAAATAAATCGCCTCTTAAATGATGCTTAAAAAACATTTCTCCCTCTCCTCTTTTTTCACCCTCTTTTGTGACACATTGTTGTAATTTTCATTGATGAGCATCCTCCAATGATGTGACATGGGCATTCCCAAGCAGAATGGCAATCGGTGAATGGGTAATAAAGAATAGGTGCATTTTGTGCTTGTGAAATGAAGGATACACATGTAATTAACAGTAGTGGGAAAACATGCATGGAGAAAAGAGACATTGTACTCCTTTTTTTTTTTATTCATATTAATAATAATTATTAATATATGTAGTGACTTTATTTACTGTCATTAACTATACAATTCATTACAAAATCTCACAAATGTTCTTGGAATATATTTGAATTATATTTCTCACTGCGACTTTACCAACGTGAGAGTTATTTCCCTTACACCGGATTGGATAATATTGTGACACGGCGCGAATTCTTGTCAACAGCAGCGGCAGATGTGTCATGTTCTTAAATTGTTAAATTTTCATAAATAAATACACCAGAAATAGCATGCTGTGTTACAGAAATGTTTGATATGCATACGCAGTTCACATATCGGTTCGTCACGTCCGTGATAGCAACGATGGTTTATTACCGTTATCAGCCTAAGCACGATATGTCATATAACGTTCCCGTTTGAAACAACAAAATAGAGGTTAAGTATATATATTTACTTCTTCCTTGTATTTACAAAATATAAAAAGCTATACCGTACAGACAGCGTCAATGCTTGACAGTCTTCTCATGTGCTTTCTCGAATCAGAGTCACGAAAACAAACACTCCTCAGACCTCAATCCGAGTTGCTAAAACGCTCAAACCCAGTGCACGAATTTCACCACCACAACACTCGAAGAACACACCGGGAATCAATATTTTATTTGGAAAAGAGTATCCGAAGGCTTTATGTAACCCACAGGTGAGTGTCAGAGATTCGACTTTCTATTTACGATAACGAAACTATATAGCGGAAGCATGCAAGACTGAATTATGCGCACGCACCCCGAACGGAAGTTGGTCCGTCATTTCCTTCTGTGGACAGAATCAATAAGCCGCTAGGCTCTCGACAAGAGCGGCTTAACAACATACACGTAGTCCTATGATCGCCGTGAAGTCGATGTAACGTCAATATTCGTTAGTTAATAACTATGTATGATTTGCCGATATACAGTGTTCTTTGCGCGTATATGTATTATTTCCCGACAGACCAACGCTCTCCAAAAAACCTCCCATACAAGCGAGCCGCATTTAATTTTGCACACTATGAAAAAAAGAATTTCTATATAACATTTAGATCTACTATCAAGCTCACGATCAGAATGTTCCGCCGAACTTACCGCGAAATGAACCTGAACTAGTACTGGCGTACGGGTGGCGGTTCGGGCCAAAAACGATATACAGTAACGCGTTAAAAACGTAACGCGTTAGAAGTGACTTCTAACGCGTTAAACTTCACTTCTTATGCGTTACATTTTTAACACATTCCTGTATATCGTTTTTGGCACAAACCGCCACCCACACGAGTGTTTGTAAATCTGTCAAATGCTGATTTCATGTGTTGACGAACGATGTCGATCGATTGATTGAAGTTAACATCTGGTATTCCGTCTTTGCGTATTGCAGAGTTATCTTCTCTTGTGAGCAGGTATTGATTGTTACGTTATTGGGTTCAAAATTCCACAATAAATTGGAACATTTATAAAGGCTTTAGTGTCAAGGTAAGACAACTCATTGAAACATTTGCTAAAAACGTTAAAAGATCATCGATTTTTACTTTACCTGTACTAAATCAGGAGTCCACTTCTTATATATTTTCCAATATTCTTTCGGATTTCTAGACCTCAGATTTTTTAATTTGCTTTTAATTTGCTTTTTATGATTCTTGACAGCAGTATTCAGTGTTTTATGATATTTACGCTCCTTAACGCTCCTTATCATACAGATCTTCTTTAAAACTTATTTCCCCATACCTTTTATAAAATCTTTGGGTAATTTTGTCGAGCAGTTTTACATTCTTTGGTAAACCATGTTTTTTTTAATTGAAATTATTTTTAGGATGGGTATTTGGTTGGGTATTTCCTCGGACTTAGATCTAATCTAATTCCATGGTATTTCCAAAAGCATGTTTGGCAGCACCGGTGAAAATGTATCATAACTTACGTACAGTATCATTAATGAAATCCAAATTTTCAACATTTTCAGAATCATTCATATCATTAATAGCGAGCGCAGCGAGCTCTTTTTGTATCGTATGCGTGGTATATATAAAGTTCAAGCAAAAATCTATATATAGTAACACAGAACGAAACTACAATACTATGCGATCTTTTTTCTTTACATCGTGCAGAACGGACTTTAAAATTTGCGACGCTCTGATTGGTTATTCATAGATCAGAAGCTAAATATGCTTCACGTCGTAACTTATTTGCGTGAACTTTGCAAACGTATTCGTTATGGTTTGAAATGTTTCTTCATTAAAATGGTTTTAAAAAATAAAGTTTTCGACGTTTTTGACGTATCAGGTTAAGCAGGGACAGTATTTTGAGGGGATTGGCGACTCAGCCCCAGTCAAGATTCTATAGCACGTCGCTTTTGTGTTTGTTCACGGAACCGCGAAGTCATCGAGAGCCTGCGCTTGCGCACTAGCGTTAAAATTAAGGAAGCACTTGCTTCTGGTGTCATGTCAACAATCTCGCCGAGATCGAAGTGTTTTGATAACGGTTAGCCCTGATTGGGACCGTGTATTAGTAGTTCTTCTTTTTATTCCAGGGACAGGGCTATCGTTGCCTCTATGTCTAGCCTTTCGGTTGTGTTGGTGGCTATTACTACAAATCACATAAACCTTGGTTGTTTACATTTCGTAAAGCACGTTGCAGTGAAAAATAATGCTGATATTTACACTTTTTGACACAAAAAACCCCCAAGTTAAATTATGTTATTTGCAATTAAAATGGGTTGGGTCGTTATAAAAATTATTCAGCTTTCTATTAGTGCTAATTTAAACAAGATCGGTAAAACACTTTCGGAGTGAGGTAGTTCACATACATGTGGTTTTTTTATCCCGCATTTTTGTCTATTGACGCCCATCACAATATTCTGAACCACGCGTTACATCGCGTTTAAAAATAGAAAAATTACCCCCAAAACGAGACATCAATTCCTATGATACCACAGATTTGATCAATTATAAGAAATACAATCAGCTTATTACAATGGAATAAACAAAAGACGTAAGAACACTTATCGAGATTGGTTTGTTTTCACACCAACTTCTGCATCTAGCGAAGCGATATCGACGCCATCTTGCTTTGTCGAAATGAGATAGGTGGCGCTCGCTATCTGCTCCGGAATCAGGGGGAGGTAAGTCCAGATTGACGTGTCATACAATTGGTAAGGCAAAGAGGGAGTCGCTAATCCCCTCCATTATACGTCCCTGGGTTAAGTAATACAAATATTTGTCGTCTGAAAGTCGCGGGCTTCAAACTTTGATACATTCTAATTGGTTGAAAAGACCGGAACAGATCAACTTCGCCGGGAATAGGAACACGGGAGGGTAAAGGCCTACTGATCGACAAGAGTAGCTATTGGAGCGAATTTTACCAGTTTTGACCTCTCACAGACAGGTATTATGTTTAACTCAAAGGTCTACTGATTTCAATATGTGTATCTAGTGTAGTCTAGTCGGTTTCAGTGCAAAGAGATGTTTAGCAACGACAATGCTGATGTGCCGCCTGGGTATGTACGCGCATAAATGTGTACCTTTATGTGGGTTAAAGGTAAGTGAAATATTTTATGCTTCGCCTACTTTGTCAGTTCGTGTCGGTGTCACAATATGCCCCCTCCCCGAAGCAATTTCACAAATGCAGATTTGTCAACTTATTGTTTCTAACGTAACATAAATATGCCCCCTAGGTAAAAAAAAA